AAAAATATAGAGTAGCCCACATTATGACTAACAGAAAAGTTTTGTTACCAATTTGCGTATTTTTTCAAGCAATGAATATGTTCATTTGGTTTAGCAAATTATATCAGTTTTCAAAACAAGAATAACACACTATCAAAACAGGAAGATTAAACATCGTCTGAAAAAAATTACACCCATAACATAGTATGTGCTCCAGATAGTAGTTTCCATGGAGTCAGTATTCAACCCCTGGGAACTGATGAAATTTTAAAGGGGGTCAATAATGATCAAGAGGTCGACTGAGGGTTGATAGCTAAATATGCAGCGGGCATCTGATTGTCATAAATAAGATCCCATTCATTATAAAAAATTATTAATAAAATTGATAATTAATTATTTATTGATAAAAAGCTGTGGCATGTAATAAAGAAGAAGTCATATAAAATAATATAAGGGAAAATATACTAATATTATTTCATATGCTTTAAAAGCCAATGATATCTTTTTAAATACCTAAAATTAAAAAAAAATATCTTTTAAAATTTTAATATTTTTGGATTGCATTTATTGTATAATTTTTTTTTATGCAATAAGTGCAAAAATTGTAAACTCAGGAGTACTAGAAAGTAAGTACTAGTAAACTCAGGAGTACTATAAGAGGACTCAGGAGCACAAGAAAACGCAATAAAAAATATGAAGAACACAAAATTAGAATGAAAAACAACTTAAATATTTTTGAAGGATGCAATTTAAAAGTGAACAAATTCAGTGCCAAATGTTTGAAGCAATACATGAAGCGGTACTATCCCATTATTTAAATCGAAATTTTGTGTATTTAGAATAATGGGTTTTTTCTTTGAAAACCTGTTTTCATTTTTAAAATTAAAAACAATACTAATACAAAAAATAGTTAAACGTAAGTCAAAACTCCCATTTTTTTTAAAACTCTTTCTTATATTCTTAATTTAATTGTTGTCTTTAAATTCTTTATGTTCAATTATTTGTATTATAATTAAGATGCATACTGTATAATATTGAGAAAAATGTAAGGGGTCGGTGAATTTAAGTATTCTTTTAAAATGGATCGATACGAGAAAGAGGTTCGAAATCTCTGGCTCAGGATGTCTTGCTTAAGTAACATCGCTGATCTAACAACCCGAAAATGTCTTGAGTAAATTACTATGCCCTGGGATATGCAAAAATGTCTTAAATATATTAATACTTAGATGTCTCGAAAACTTCGTTTCTTAATAGCCTGAATATATTCGTAATATAGTACTTTCCGGAGTGTTCCCGTCATCAAACAGGCTGAGGTGTTTCTTCTACTGATTTCTGTTTCTCGAATTTGCTCAAGGTTGTCATGCTTATACTACACTGGAAAATGACTTTAATTCATCTGGAGAACATATTAAAGCTGCACTCACACTGGTCCGTTGGCACGAGAATAAAAAAAAAAAAAAAAAAAACCGCTTTCCGCGTACATCAATTCACACCAGCGCGGAAACTTTCGCTTTAAAAGTTATAAAATGCGCACACTAGATGGCTCTTCATATCGAAACCTTGGGGCAAAAAGTGAATTTTTGTGTGGTATTTTGCATTATATGGTTATATGTTTTAATTAAAACGGATCCAGTTTCGGCTAAAACTTTATTTTACTTCTTGCTTTAAGCTAGTGAAGCAGAATGCAGTGATTTATATTAATATGTGAGAGATGACTACAGCAGAGAGATACAAATAATTTAACTGGAGAAATGCACTTGAAAGACATCGAAATTTCTTTCGAAAAAAGGCCCGAACCCGCAGTACAAGTCCCTAGTATTATCTGAATTTTCTACTGAGTATATCATGAATTTTCTATAGAGTGAATTTTCTACTATTGTCCCTAGTATCATCTGAAATTTCTACCTCTACGCTCAGGCGTCTTGCGTGGAAAGTTGGTTTTCAGACTTCACCTTCAGAAATCTAAATAAGCATCTGTGCTACTCTGAAAATACCGATCTTTTAAGTAATTTATTAAAATATTCTACTAACTTATGTATTATTAATTATTATCTGAAATTTTTGTTGAGATTAGTCCATTTGACTTTTTATTTTTCTCAAGAAGAATTTTTGAAAATGTGGTGTGAACTAGAGATTTGAAATGAGATGTCTAAAATTGACGCTCCAAGCGACAAAAAATTGAAGTTAAGTCAACACGTGCGGTCTTCGGTCGTCCGGAATATACCGTCTGTGAGCTGACTTCTGATATTGGTCACCACTTTCCCCCCGAACGCATGATCGCGTGGTGTAAACAGGGCTTAAGGTTGTATTCCCGGATATTTCGAGGATATGATAGATCGGACTTAAATCATCATAATACCAAATAGGTTGCTGGTTGAACCTAGAGATGATGTCTTTAGGATATACTGGAATGTGATATTCAGCACTCGAGACGATGTGTTTAAGAGGTTAAGTGGACATTTCGAACTGTTCTGAGGATGTGGATAGGATTCAAAATTGTCACAACATTCAGTACATTGTCGAAGGGACTTAGACATAGGATCCTAAGGATATCCTTGGTTGTGACATAAGCGCTCAGGAGGATGTATTTGGAAAGATAAAGGGATGTTCCCAGAAGTCCTGAGGATGCGCATTGACCCGTAAGGAACATCTACAGGATATAGCGAAGAGGTAGTTATGCTATGTGGGTAAATTAAAAATGACTGTAATATCATCTGCCATCACTGATGTTAAACCATATTTTTTTTTTCATTTTATTCTGCAATTTCCGTACACAGTTCTGATTTATGATAATGGTTTCTGAAAGTAATCTCTATATAATATATATCAATGTAAACATACAGAATATATAGCAATATAGAAATTAGATTTTTTTAAAGAGGTTCATCTGCGCAATTAATAGGGAGTGTAACAGCAATCCAAAATTTTATTTTACTGTAGTTGTTCAATGTAGGCTAGTTTTATTAATGATCAAAGAAAGAAGTGCAATTTATGTCTATTTTATGCAGTAGAGAGGTAAAAATTTGATTTTTATTTATAATTAATTGAGAATCATGCATCAGTTTAGAGCAATTAAGTTTAAACTTAAATGAAGAAATTACTATCAGATTTAATGAAAAAAATTACCTGCGAACTATAAAATATTTTGCATATCATTCAAAGTGATAAATTAACAAATATTTACAACTCTGCTTAAGTCCATTAGGTATTAAGTGTAATGTAGCATTATTTACCTGGGCCAGATATTTTGATTACTTTATTCATGACTACCAATCCATATTAATAGAACACTATCTCACAGTTAATGTCTTCATTGTCGAAATTTCTCCAGGTAAGCTCCGGAAGTTACAAGAGTTATATTTGGGGTGAAAACGTCTTCAAAATTACTACAGGAAGTCATATTGAACTTACTGCCTTGAATTAAAATTGAAGAAGTATAAGACACATAATCAATACTTTAAAAAAAAAAAAAAAAAAAAAAAAAAAACTCTGTATGGTTTAAAGGTCACACCTGACGCGGAAGTTTAAATAGCTGTCTTATTTACAGTTTCAAACATTATTTTAGATTTCTACGAAGCGGAATTAGCAATTAAGACAAACCGCAAGGTATGATTTAGGAGGAGGGTTCCCAGTCAACGACAGAACTGCGATTACGGAAAATGCGGCTTCTTTAAATTATAAAAAATAAGTACATTAATAAAACTAAAAATGACTTTTTCATATTGCTTGTAATCTAACAAACTGCGATTGTTAATAATGTTAGCAATGTCAATTAGCTTAGTACTTCTGCTACTACTAAATCATCATTAGATCGTTATTTTCAGCATGGACCTTTTGCTTCGTCATTCAGTTTCTTTTCTGACTACAACCAACTCAACATGTTTTAGCGTTTATAGTTGTCTATCCCCTTCTAGCTTCGGTAATACTGGTCACCTTTCTCCCTGTGATGCACCTTGGGCAACATTTTCGGTGAGGAGATGGCTAAATGACTAATGAATTCGTGATTCTCATAACGAATGCTTAATGAACAGATATCTGCCATCGGATGCAAAAGGGGGGGGGAATGTTTAAATGTGAAGCATTTTTAAGCTTGAAATTTTATACTCCAGAAGAATATTATAAGGTTTTTGTATTAATTAAACCGTTATTTTATCAGTTTCCTGTATTTTCATTCCTACTTTCATCAACTTTCACCAGAATGGAAATTAGTAAATATATAAATATGAACAGAGTTCTTGGGTGTGAAAAAGTGCTTTTGGCAGCTCAGTTTGTTTGCTTTGCGAATACCTAGAGCTCGAAACATATTTTATACAAATGCATGTTAATCTGCATTCATATCTTAATTCAATTTTAAAGTTTGTTCTACATTTCCTGGAAGCTGTAGAGTTGAATTATGTGATTGTATCAGTTTTGTGTTGCGGTCAAATCGACGTGTTTATAACTAGTTTTATTTTAACCCCTTTCTTTACTTCTGATTACTCTAATTAAAAGAATGATAAGTCATCCTACCGGCGGCCTAGCGGTAAAGTTGCTGAACGCCGGTAGCTCTGTCAGATGTTCGAATATCGCGAACGGGGTGGCTGCATGGGCATTTTCGTGGTTTTTCCCACGTGTAAACGTGTATACAGACCGGTTTCCCTTAGAAAGTCCTTCACGAAGGCATCCCTCTTCTTAAGCATGTAGCCTTCGAGGCTTTGCCATAATCATATTTATTGCCATCGCATTTTCGACATCGTAGCCCGGAGTAACTTAATAACAAAGACTTATCTAAGCATCAAACGAGAAATTTATTCTCATTTAAGAATTTTAGATATGTCACGCTATAAAAAGTTATGCGATTGCTGTCTGTTACACTCAGGATACGGCTTTAGCCCCGGAGCCTGAATCAAGTGACTTTTGCATCTTAGTCTAATTCTGCATTTTAGATAACTGATAACGCACTGTAAAATAAACAAATCTTATAAACATTTGCTATAATCGATATGCAGTCTTTTTAATCATTCTTATATTTTACTTTTCAGATACAAAGATGAATAAATTTGCAGTCTGCATTTTATTCACAGTTTTAATCGAAATACAGCTGATTTTTTCTGTTTCATCGCAATCAGTACAAAGTAGACACTACAGACCTTATTATCCAAATAAATGCAACCGCAATGGACGATGCCCTTCGAGAGATGGATACATTGAAGAAGACGACCAAGATTTTAAGACAGTCTCAGACAAAGACAGGCCGCCTGAATTGACTCGAGACGATTGGCCCGTTCCATCGGGAGGAGGACGTCCTGGTACTGGAGCAGGTTACAAACCACCCGTTGTAGACAGAGACGAATATGATCCCAAACCTGTCGTAGACAGAGATAGTTACGATCCTAAACCAGTTGGGAGTGGATATAATAGAAAACCTCCAGTAGACAGAGATGACTACAAACCCAAACCCGTCGATGATGGAGGACCAGTAGGAGGCGGATACAACAGGAAGCCTCCAGTAGATAGAGATGAGCACAAACCAAAACCAGTCGACGATGAAGGAGTGTATAATCCAAAACCAGTCGTGGACAGAGATGATTACGTTCCCCGTCCTGTTGGGGAAGGAGGAGGTGGGGGTGGAGGTGGAGGTTACTATCCAAAACCTGTCGCGGACGATTCGAATCGTCGGCCTACAGGAGATAAGAAAGACCTTGGAGGTTACGGTGACCCAAAGGATGATGACTATAATGACGATTATGGTGTCGGGGATGGCTCCAAAGACGAAGATTACATCGATGGTATTAAGCCTATTCCAGTAGTAGATGGGAATTGCATTTGCGTACCCTATTACCAGTGTCAGGATGGCCATATTGTCACTGATGGTGCAGGAATAATTGACGCTAGAAAAAGACCGGAACCGGACGAAGAACTGCCCTTGGTACGTGCATCATAACCATTTTAATTTCAATTTTTTAAGTACTTACATTATGGTATTATTAATCAACTAATTTTATATTTTAATAGAGAACTAAATGGTCTGCACTCAAATTTCAGTATTCGCTAAATGTTCTTAATGGTCATACTCCGCACAATATCTGCATTTTGTCTGTTGCAATGATAAACAGTAGAATCTTCATTATGGGGGGGGCGAAAACCTGTAAATTCGAAATACTATTACCCTCAAACAGAAGGTTTGTCATGAATTCTATGGCCTATGAGAGTTTAAACACCTTTCAGAATTCTTGACTATTAGTAGAGACGAATTATCTTCATTCACATCAAAGCTGAACTCCTCTTGCACGAAATCACACAAGACACACAAAAGTACTTATTGAGCCATCGCGTAGCTAGCAACCGTTAAGGATTATGCCTATATATAAATAAAGTCAACCTCCTAATTAGGAATACTATTAAATCCTGAGAATTGTATCTTTTATAAAATAATTTAACTGCACTTTTATTTCTTCCCTGCGTGAACTATGCTTTCCTGACAACAGTGAATGTTAAATAGCATTTACAGCTTCTTTTCTTACAAGTGACATACCAATACTTAAAATCATACAAAAGTTAAAAGTCTTGTTTGACTTCTCGCGACCACATTCGTCTTGTAGACAGGCCTTCTTGTATCTGCGGTTAGACTAGATTTATGTGATCGACATGCGAAGGATCGGCACGGCATAAAATTGACACTGGATTGACATGTACATAAGACCGACATTAATTTTTATTTTGCCACCAAAAACTGTGAAAAAAAAATGATGATGATGATGGCGAGTAAGATGAAAAATTCAATGTGTTATTTTAAAGGGTTATCAAAGAATCGATATTAGAGTTGACAGAATCGGTCTTCCAGAAATTTCTTCTAAATAATATGGATAGAGTTGGGGAAACTCATTTCTGTCACCTGTAATTTGTGCAACCTTTGCCTTTCGGCCACGATTAAATTTGGGGACTACATCTGGCTGAAATTCAGATCAAAAGAGTTAATAACAACAGCAACATTATAAACTGGCTAAATGAAAAAGAATGCTTAAATTAATCAGATCGACATTCATACAATCTTCACTACATAGCATAGACATTATGTGGGTTTGACAACGCGAAACATCGACGCCGACATAGTATCGATACCAGCATACAACTGGCACAATAAAAACGAGATTGAGATAAGGAACAAGAAGAAAAAGACACATTTATCACTTCACAGAGTTGCCACAGCTATACGTTTAGTACTGCGTAGAATCAAGAGGACGGCACAGAAATAAGAATACGGTACACCGCATTTAGCTGTAGATAGTGCAGTTGTTCCAGACCCACGATGCAACATGTATTGTTCCACAGTGTTACTAATCCATTATGACACGCCACAAGGTCTCTGTGTGACATTTGCAAAACCAGTTTTCTTGCATTTAATGCATACTTTCGCTAAAGTGTAAGCGTTCACATCGGGGACTGACATCGGCATGGGATCGACTATAAGATAATAAGATCGGCAATAGCATACAGTATACATTGCGCAATGTAGCCAAGGACTATAAGTAGCAATGGTGCTTAAAGAAAAGAATTTGATTAAATAAATTATTATTTCCTTAGGATACTTTCTTAGGTTTAAACTTGTTCCTGAGCTCCTGTGCGAACAAAAAGGCTATCAGTTTAATGCAGAGGCAATTACTGTGTCACTTTCCTGGTTCCCGCGACTGGCATGCCAATTCCAAATCTCGAGTCAACTCTTTTCATCTTATTCCATTCTTACTTTGCGCCGAGGGCTTCATTAAAGTGATGATTTAGATAGTGTTTCCAATTCGAGAAACGTATTTAAAGAGACGTTGAGTGCCGAATAATATTTTACGTATTATTTTAATAATTTTTCAACTTAGTTCCATCTTAGACACGTAGCATATATGAAATTTTGACTTCCTTAATAACATTCAGTACTTTTGCAATGCTTCTTTATGAACTACATGTTAAACTTCGTTATCGGGTGGCCCAATCGGTCCGCCTTATGGGTTCAGAACTTTTTATTCCAAACCAACTGTTATTTTCCTTTTAATGTAATGTATATTAGTTATCAAATCATTTTAAAATTGCTGTCACCTTCTATCAAACCATATTCCAGCTCCCAATGTGAACAAAGTTATTCGCACTCCAGAAAAAAAATTTTCCGTTCCAAAAAGTTTTCTTCCACAGACTATCTGGGATATTTTTAATCCATATTCCAACTCAAATTGTCCTTTTTTTCTTTTTCTTTTTTTTTTTTTTCTTTACAGGATGGAAAATTCAAACCTCCTTCGTGTGGTCCATTCCATGTCTGTTGTAATACACCTGAAACATCGACGGTGAAGCCCTACGAGCATCGTTGTGGTGTTCGCAATCCAAGTGGCATCAATAGCAGGATTCTCTCCCCCAGTAACAAAGGCGAAGCAGATTTTGGTGAATGGCCGTGGCAGGTAAATAGTTTTGAGTCTTCAGCGGACAAATTAGTTTAATTTAGTTTGTATCTGTATCGTTAAACTATTCTTAGAAGTCTAGCTACTCTACTTTACAGAGAGCTATTCTTTTAGGTGTTGACGAGTTGTCGCCCTGAAGTAATAACATTTTCTCACAAAGCAAAACATTTTATTTAGCTGCTACTGTTGGGTTAAAGCTAAAGGAAATATATAAAGACAAAACTATTCGATAACGTGTTTAAATGGTATTTATTCACCAGTGTTTAGAAGATTATTTGTGGTATCACTGAGTAAGCTAATCTCGATCTGCTACACAAGTTGGTGGTTACGCGATCTGCACAAGTTGGTGGTTACGCGATGATACATAATAAGGTGATAAAAGATCAGATATATGATACATAGGTTAAGTGTTTTGTTTAGTTTTCTTGTGTCAACTTACGGCTGGTTGCTGCTGCAGAAAAAGGGAAAAAGGGGAAAGGAAATGAACAAATAAATATTTGTAGTCATTTTCAATTGGGGATACAGTTTTTCGTGGCGAATTATACTGGTTGTGGAATTAAAATCTGGATCCCTCACTATCGAAGATACGTCAACAAGACTGAAGCGAACTGCCTTTTGAGGATAACAGTTTTACAAGGAGAAGTTTCTCTGAGACACCGAAACTTACACAATCACTTTTAGAGACATTAGGTTATTTTGAAACAGTAGAGATGAAAGATAAGCAATGCCCTCACCGGGACTCGAACCACGGATCTCTAGAATGCGCCCCTAGTATGCTGCCCATTACGCCACTAAGGCATACTAAGAAGGCGGGAGAAATGCCTTATACACTTAGAAACTCGCATTGCAAACGGGAGGTATTACGACACCCTTCCAGATACAAACTGGCATTAATGTTCTCCAAAGTACTATGACTTGCAGTGAAACTATCGAGATTTTTAAACTCTGTTTTGCGATCCACTATGGAGTGCGATGCAACTTTCCACTCGTTGTATCACGCTTTGCACAGCATTATCCAGCAGCTGTTGATGCAAATGATGTTACTCTTCTGTCGGTGCACGGAGAGGGTGTTCTTGTTCGTTGAAGAACATTTTCGACTAACAAGTCGGCTCTCCAGAGCATCCCAAAAATTTTAAAATTGTGTTTAGATCTGGAGGACGTGCTGGCCACATCAGGGTTGGAACTTCTCGTTGTCTAGAAAGCAGCACGAAAAAGTTGAACATGAGACAGCTGAAGTTCGTCAATGTAGTGCTGACTGGTCATAGTCGCAATTGCAACCACATATAGAGGCATGCGTTCATTATCATGGTGCCAGTTCATAGTAAAATAATGCATCTCGGTCTCTTTCTGGGGTATTTTCCAAATGATAAACAGTACCACCCTTACGTGGTTACACCCTTAGTTGGCGTCTATAATCCGGTAACATACTAAATCTATTCTCTTTTAAGAATAGTACTCAAGTAAAGTCCTGTTCAGTTCAACAGCTATCCTCGGACAGCATTGCAAAGGGACAGTACCATGATGTCTGGACAATTAAACACATACCAACAAGCCTACGGGCGTACAGTCCTCCTTTCCATAAGCCTCTGGCTACAGTATTTCGGGAGATAAGCTGTCCTATGGCGATGACCGCCTTGGAAACAGCTTGTATTTTTTGCCCTTCTTCGATTTTTCCTATGATAAAGCCATACATAAAATCATCTAAGTGATGCCGGAAAAACACACCAGAATTTCCAAGACAGTCAATTAAATTTTTCCTGTAAAATTTTCGCTTAATACAATAACTTCTCGCACGCATCAATTCCTTTAAAATCTTCTATCAGCACTATTACGTGATGAACAGGCGGAAGAACGAAAATTTTGCACACGCATTCCTCTCTTCCCATATCCGCCCTTATTGTAATTTTCCACATTTTGCTTGGTTTCATTTTGTGATTTTTATGGTTGGTAACGTTGTCCGGGCTTAGAAATTGTCCTGCACTGTAAATACCGTACTATTATATCGAAATTTTTAAGATGGTTGGCAATTATCTTGTTCCAATGCAGAAAGTAGACTCATGATTTTACAAATTTTAAAAACAAGATTTTTTTCTTTAATGAAGTATAATCTGAAAGAAAAGACTTTAGCCTCAAGAAAATTAATATGATATTATTTAGTTAAAGGAAATTCAATAATATAAGAATCTAGATATCCTATGTCTACACAGACACAATGATCAGACTTGGTAAATTCATGTTTACAGCAAAATCGTAGCAAAGGGATCATATCTTGTTATACATCTTGATAACAGCAGTATCGAAATTTTGTGATTTTGATCAACTCTTGGCAAGGTAAAATTTAAGGACAATATATATAAATATGAGAAGAAGAGGAATGAGTATGCAAAATTTTCATTCCTCCGCTTGTTCATCACACGATAGCGCTGATAGAAGATTTTAAAGGAATTGATGCTTGCGAGAAGTTATTGTACCAAGTGAAAATTTTATATAAATATTACACACTTCTTCCCATTTTTTTTCAGTGAGATTGTCAAGAGATACTTTTAAGACATGATTTAGGCCGGGGAATAGAACAATATTCTGTATTATATGGCTCATTTATTAGTAATTAATATTTTGTATTATAATGCTTATCCTAAAAAGAAACGTCGCGAGCTTTCCTCAAATGGGCCTCAGTAAGATCTGAAATATTACATATATTATGTTTGCTTTATACCGTGCGTTAACTGTATTGATTGCTTGGGGCGCCGAACATGTTAGACTGAAGATATAAGTGACGTATACATTTGAGCTTTCATAACAAATTAAAGCTCAGTTTCGATTATATGTGCCTCAAATGATGCACCTATGTTATTTATAAAGTCTAACTGTCTTTCTCTGTAACTTTTATTTTACGCTTTTTTTCACACGTTTATTTACGAGGCACAAATCAAATCATCTTTCTTTCGTTTAACCACCACGGGACTACCAAATAGTGCCTCGGAGTTATTATCATTCCAAGTAGCAAAAATTTTCAAACTTATATTTCAAATCGTACTTCAGAGAACGACTTATAACAAACTGAAAGTATTGAAAACTATATCCCTACTTCTTAAAAATATTATTAATTTAGTTATAAATGTTCCGAATGCTATTTAACATAGTTGATTTCTTGCATATTTGATTGAAGGCAACTTAAAATACTAGTTAACCGAATACAGCTTGCATAGTTAAATTTCAGTGTTTGCATATCGTTTTGCTTAAAAACTGATGTTTTAATTAAAACTTCTGATGCTTATAAACGAATTTAACAGCATAAAAATAATTTTTATTTTGATATTAAAAAATCATCTAATTTTTATTCATCATAAGCTATATTTCATTAACAAACAGCTAGCTATTTTTTTAGAAAAAAAATATTGGGGGAAAACAAAATTGCATTCAAATGAAATAATTTACTCCTGACTATGATATTTGAAAGACAAGCACAAAGCCTTGTTTCTAAATCAATAAATATTAATTGTGTTGCATGTTTCCAAAATCTATTTCCTTTTAAGACTTGTAACTGCAATCCTGTTCTTTCAGGCAGCCGTATTGAAAGCAGAGGGAAAAGTGAACATATTTCAATGCGGAGGCGTGCTCATTGATAAGTATCACGTTTTGACCGTGGCTCATTGTGTATTTCATTTATAGTAAGTATAGTAGTATTATATTAACGTAAAGATTTAATTTCATACACTTAGGCTCTCTGCTTTGTTTAAAATATTTGTTGCCTTTATTCTTTTATTTGATGTTTTTAACTGAGGTCAGCAATGTTTCGACTGCTTTATTACTTCAATTTCTTTCATTTATTTTTCTACAGGATCTCCAAAAGGGATTTAGATTTAACTCGTTTCGTAATAAATGGTACTCAATGTGCACTCAAATACTTTTATTTCAGTTATCAGGGCATACACAGGCAACTAACTCCTTATTAACTGGGATAAGATTAATTGGACCTTGTCTTTAACACAAAAAAGGAAACGTGCGTATGAAAGTATACGTGATTGTGGATGATATGATAGCATCTGACAACTGCAGGTACAAAATTGTGCCTGCAACTATCAAATGCTATTATATTATGCCAACGGTTTTGGAAAAGGTAGTATACACTACATCTCCCAAAATTTTACCTATTGTTATTATTTTTAAAGGATACGAACTTAAAGGAAGGATCTATTCTGCGACAGTTATTACTCTTATATATCCCGAATCCCGAAAAATATTTGATAACTTCGCTGAATTTACAAAACAGTTTTGGAGCGTTTATCAAATACTTTCGGAACTCAAGATCATTCGTAGTTGGTCCAACACCGTCACACTGCCATGTGCTCTGGTATCTTTCTGTCGCCGCAAGCACAGTTGTCTGAAGAGATATTTCTCTTATAGTAATGTGTGGGGAACAAGCCGTGTCCAGATATGAATTGATTCAAACGGGGCTTAGTGTAATATCTTATCCAAACTATTACTTTATTTCGTAAATTTATTTTTCCTTCTTTGTTGGCATAATGCACATATTCTTGCAGAAAGTGTATTTCTTCAGTGCATTTATATTGCGGTATTTATTTAGGAGTTAGAGTATATTTTGGTATTTCTATATTACATAAGTTTATTGAATCCCATTTCAGTGTTCTTTTCGGCTCCACTAAGGTGAGTCGTTAAAATTGCTGAATGCCGGAAGTTTGATACTAAACGAGAGGGCCGATTCATTATTGGTTTTTCCCCCCAATGTGTAAGTTGGATACGAGCCAGTTTACTTTAGATCGTCCTCTACGAAGAAATCCTTCATTCTAGGCAGATACTTCTCATGTGGTTTGCCATACGCAGATAACATAAAGAGTGTTCTTCATTTATGGGATCTCTTCACATACAGTTATCATTTTTGACTTAATGCAGTCCTTGTCGCATACGTATCTTGAGTGCATCTGTAGTGTCTCTATTTGTCATGTTAGTGAAATTTAGAATATTTTATTCATCTGAGTAATTTAGTATATTTATTCATCTGAGTAATTTAGTATATTTGTTACTAAGCGAATAACGATACTAATGCGTAGTTCGAAAGGCTAGTAATAACTTGACGATTCTTGTTCGAACGCTAATTTTGTTTCGACGAATTTGCATCAGTGGTAAATTTGATCTTGATTTGGATACAAAAAATTCATGACGATATCTTTCATTTATATTTAATGAAAGCACCAAAATATATCACAGCAATACACATACATCGCAATGGCGAACCACAGTTACATAATGTTAAAAAACACAGAATTCTTTGGCGCAACAGCGCCCTCTATACTATGAAAAGTTCCAACACACCCCCACCTGTGCTCTTTTAAGAGCACATTAAATTTACATATCAATAATATATTTAGATATAATCAAAAATCAATATGCACAAATTAATACTGAAAACTACATTGCAAATTAAATACAATACATGAAACAAACATATATATATAAACTTTAAACTTCAAAAGGATAGATTAATTGGACGGGTCTTCGATAAAGTCCTTGAGAAGTACGAATCAAACATGAACGCACATACCCATCCCTACCTTTATAAACTTCTTCTATAATTCCAATAGGCCATAAAAATTTTGATTTCGTCGACCCCTCCAGCAATACAACCTCACCCTTTTTAAGATTCCTTTCAGGAGATGGATTTAGAAAAGTATGCGCAGACCGTAATTCGAGGAGATAATTCTCCTTCCACTTTTTCCAAATTTGTTTCAAAAGATTAGTTTGATACAGTTTTCTCCTAGTCAAAGTCTGCCTGTTCAATGGTTCATTCCTGAAAAGGTCGGCGAAATGTACAGGATAAGAAATATTTTCTTGCCCTGGAAACAAGAAATGGGCAGGTGTAAGAGCTTCTGGCTCTTTTATTTCATTATGGACATAAGTAAGAGGTCTATGATTTAAAACTAACTCAATTTCTGATAGAATAGTCATCATTTCCTCAAAGTTAAGAAGAGCCCTTCCGAGAACCTTTCTCAAAGGATCTTTGATACTTTTCATAAGCCTTTCATAAAAACCACCCCACCAAGGCGCGTGAGGCGCAATATATTGCCAAGTTATGCCGTTTATTGATATGAAATCTTTCAATTTTGAATCTATTATAATTTTTGCTAAATTCTTTAAGAATTTCATTAGTGGCTCTAAAGCTCTTAGCATTGTCGGAAATGATAACTTTACAATTTCCTCTCCTAGCTAAAAATCTCCTTAATGACAAAATAAAATTTTTTGTTGACATATTTGTGATTAATTCTATGTGCACAGCTCTAGTAACACTGCATGTAAATAATGTTATGTAAGCCTTTTGAGGCGTATCCTTTCCTGATTTTATTAAAACTGGGCCAGTGAAATCTATGCCAGTTACAGTAAAAGGAGGGTTTTCAGTAATTCTACATTTAGGTAGTTGACTAGTTATTTGTTTAGCTGGTTTCAACTTATACTTTCGACAAATTAGGCAGTTACCTAATACTCTTTTTATAATTTGTCTACCTCGTGGAATCCAAAATCTAGACCTAATTTTGGCTAGCGTAAATGTAACTCCACCATGAAAAATTTTATTATGTTCTCGAATAATAATTAACTCTGTAAATTTAGACTGCTTAGGAAGAAGTATAGGATGAGCTTCATCCTTTGTAAACGCTCCTTGTTCTAACCTTCCTTTTATGCGCAATACACCACAACTGTCGAGAAATGGGGCTAAATTTGAAAGTGGAGAGTTTTTAGGAATCGATTTACCATTTTTAAGGTTCTGCAATTCTAAGTTGAACTCTATGTTTTGCTCATGTTTTATCCAGTCTATTTCAGCATTTTGAAGTTCTTCTGCTGTGAGGGGACCTGCAATCGTTTGTCGTTTTTGAAGTTTATTAACAAACCGTTTAACTAGTGCAGTTACTCTTAGTACTTTTAACAAACAACTATATTTCCTTAAATCTAAAATAAATTTCGAATTTTCTACCAAACAGTTATTTTGCACTGTACTTTCAAATTCTTTTTTTAGCTCTAAGTCTACGTCTGTAGATTTTAAGTTCTCTCTTTCAGTAGGCCAGTATTCAGGTGATTGGCTTAGCCACGGTGGACCGTGCCACCAAAGATGGTTTGTAGCTAAATTTGCTGCAGAAATTCCTCTGGACAAGATATCTGCAGGGTTATCCTTACCAGGGCAATGAGCCCAATTATTGGTATCTGATAAAGATTGAATTTCTTCTATTCTATTTTTTACGAAAGTTTTGTATTTACTAGCTTGTCCCTTAATCCAACATAATGTAATCATCGAGTCGGTCCAAAAATAACTAGAAGTATTAAATTTAAGACATTTACTTACTTGATGGACTAATCTTGCGGACAATAAAGCTCCCATTAATTCCAGTCTTGGTAATGTAAGACTTTTCAGAGGAGCTACACGACTTTTAGAACAAATAAAACTGATACTTATCCTCCCATATTCAGATATAGCTCTTAAATACAATACAGTTCCATAGGCTAAAAGAGATGAATCTGAAAAAGAATGAATTTCAAATGAAATAAATTTACAGTTCAAATTTGACAAATTTGAAAAATAACATCTAGGAGTCTGGAGATCTTCTAAGTGTTCGATTTCACTGCACCACAACTGCCACTTGTGATCCAGTGACGATGGAAGTTTATCATCCCAGTCTATGTCATGACTCCACAGTTCCTGTAGAATGCACTTCAGCTTTATGATGAAAGGCCCAAGAAATCCGATAGGATCATAAATACGACCCACTACTCGAAGAATAAACCTTTTCGAAGCAGTTCCGTTCTTGACAAACTTTGATAATTCTTTCACGTTAAAAGATATACTGTCCGCATCTGGATCCCAAACTAGACCCAACACCTTGGATGGTGAGTCAAGTCCCGTACTTGAGCTCTTTTCCTCATCGATGTCGAACTCAGCATCTTTCCACAGCTTACGCAGTTCCATGGAATTGGTTTTCCATTTTCGTAATATCATGCCACATCTTTTGAGAATTTCTACACTTTCAGTCGTAATTTTCAAAGCCGCTTGCAAGTCTTCTTCGCCTCCAATCAAATCGTCGACATAAAACCATTCTGACAGTAATTTGCAAGTATCAGGAAATTCTTGTTTACATTTATCAAAATGATATTTCAGAGTTGCAGCTAATAAATATGGACTTGGTTTTAGTCCAAATAAAACTCTACTAAAGTTCATTTCTTGATATGAATTAGAACCGATATCATCAGTCCAGAAGAATCTAGTAAATTTTCTATCACTAGGATCGATCAAAATTTGTAGATACGCTTGCTTTATATCCGCTGTGAAGGCGATTGTATTTTGTCGAAACTTTAAAATCATTTCAAATAGATTTGGATACAAGTTTAGTCCTTTAAATAAACAGTCATTAATTGAAAGTTGTCCTCCTTCATGAGAAGAACCATCAAACACGATTCGAAGTCGACTAGTAGATTTGTCCTCGCGAATGACAGCGTGGTGGGGTAAGTAGAATGACTGCTCAGAATATGACACTTCAGTATCTGACGACGAATTCTCAATGATACCTTCCTACGATAATCATCAATTACCTTTTTATAATCCTCATAAAAAGCTGTATCATTTCTAAATCTCCTAACCAGACCATCGAAACGTTTCCGAGCCACTTCTCTATTATTT